CCGTATGTTGGAAGCTATTTTGTTGGAAAAAGATCCGGACTCGCGGTAAGGCGGTAGTCAGTCCCCCGACTCAGAGCCGACAACGACCCAACCCGGACGAAGGCGGGATTTGGTCTCCGCTACAAGAAGGTAAAGGCGTAAAAGCCTTTTTCCATCAGACCAGCCGGACAAAACAGTCCGCCAGTTAGCCCGGCAGCTGCAGAAGTATCAAAACAACTGAAAATAATCCTCGCAGAAGAGCGAAACGACGAAAGAACCCAAAGACTAATGGAGTCACACGCGCATCAACAGGCGCAACAGCATTGGGTGATGAGCGCACAGCCTCAAACCCACCAACCTTCGACATACGCCTCTTCTCAACCCTACCGCCAGCCTACATCCATCGACGAGATTCGAACTCTCTGGATTGGCGACTTGCAGTACTGGGTCGACGAAAGCTACCTCCATAGCTGCTTCGCCCACACTGGTGAGGTCAGTATACGTCTAAATAGACCATCTCCATTCAGGGTTTTCTTCAGAAAAATAATTTATATGTGCCGCCGTCGTTTCTAATTGTTATACGGGAATTTAGACATGGGAAGTGATTTGTATGGTTACTCTTCTATTCATGACATAATTTTGCGCAAGAGAACACTTGGTTCAGATCCCCCAACGCGTGGGTGAAGTTATTATAAATTTACAATCACTTTCAATCCCATTTAGGTTGGTGCCTCCACAACGTTTCCTCCCTGTCCAAAGTCGCCCGTATTTTTATATCTGTGGTTTGTTAGACTTGGGGAAATGTAGTTTTGCTTCTTGTTGCAGTGTACAGAAACAAACAGGAACAACCAGTTTATCTCGAAAACAACATAAATTTTARATAAATGGTTTCTGAATCGAACACTCTTCATTAGAATAAATTCTCTGTAATTTCTGAAGCATGATAAATAGTCATCCTTAAAATAACGACACCCTCTTAGATCCTCATCTTTGATCTAAAGGTCTTATGATGGTCAGCCTTTAGGATTCATCGTTCTGTCAAGTATTCACCCAACTCAGCAAATAGAAGAAAGAACTATTAGGAATAGGAGAACCCAAGAATAGCCTATTAACATCAGTACAACAATGTAGAGTAGTTGTTAAGCCCAAAAGAGGCTTGTGCCATCATACTCAAGTCAACTCAAGTTAACAAAGCTTTGTTCCAGTTATATGGGTTTGGCTACATGTTCATATTTCACCATTCCACTCTATTTAGGGCTAAATTCATTGTCCGATTGTCAGCCCTCGTATTATTTATCTCTACCTTAATCCATGCTATTTTAGCCCTCCTAATTTATATAAATCTTTCAATTTGTTTTAAACCACTCATCTATCAAAAAAAAAAAGTTTTAAACCACTCTTGTTATTGACGGTCTTCTTGCTTAAAGAGTAATTTTTCTTGTACCTGTACAATCATAGTATACAAAAAAGCTTTTGATTTGGGCTGCATGCCCAAGGCTTTTGTTTCTCTCCTCTTCCTCCCATAGTTGCGAAGGAGACACCTAGGCAACCACAGGGCGCCCAGTCGCCTAGGTGCCTAGGTGATGCTTATGTGGTGAAATTTGAAAATATAAAATAAAGATCCCTATCCCTCTTAAGCTACTTTATTAGTTTTTGATGCTAACCAACATACCTGTGTACTGGCTATGAGCAATAAAACATTCAAATAAAACATAAAATGGTATCATATATACATCATACCTGTTTCAGGCCAACAAAAAGGGGGACACAGTGAAAAAGAGAGAGAAAAATAAGGGGGTGGAACCCTTGGTTTGTTCCCAAAATAAGTCATCGAGGGAGACTTAAAAACTG